CCAGTTTTCCAGAGTTGGGAGGTGGAGGTGGCCTTACCGGTAATAGGAAGTCGGCCGGGGCGGTGCATCAGGGGTGTCCTGCTCCAACTCCCGGTAGACCACCTCTGGCAGCTTGGGAGTGGTGCTGGCAGAAGCATTGTGGTGGTGGTGATGGTTGGAGTCCTTGCGTTTCTCCTTGTTCTTATGCTTGCTTGACTTGGGCGTAGTGGCGGGTGTCTCAGTGTTCTCCTTGTTGCTGCCGTTCTCAGGGGCCTCCTCGGGGGCCTCCTCATCCTCAGACACCACATCCAGGTTGTCAAAGATGCTGATGCGGTGCACGCGGCCGTGCAAGTCCACCTCCACCATGCGCTGGGCCTGTGCGTAACTCATCACCTCACGGCTGGGTGACTGGGATACCTCGGAGGGGCTGGGCGACTGCTTGTTGGCTGGGCGTGACTGGCGCCCCTTCTTCTTGTGCTTTCGGAGTGGAGTCTGCTGAGGGGGCGGTGGGTTGTCATGGTCATAGTGGTACAGGTGGTACTCAATGCCACTGTAACTCTTGTAGACCTTGCGGCAGGTCTCCACGGGGCACTCGTAGGGTGGCTTAGTGGCCCGCAAGTTGTGGCAGAAAGTCTTCACGTCAAAGTCCACCCCCATGCTGTCACATCTGGAAGGCACAGATCGGTCAGCATAGGCCTGGGCCGCCCACTCCGCGCGCTCCAGCCCTCCCTCTCCCCAAGCGTCCTGGCCAGCCGACCTCTACAGCACGTCCAAACGCCATCTCGCCCACACCATGGCCATAGTCTTGGCATTATTACCTCTTGTCTGATCATTCTGCCCTGTGTCTCAGTTCTAGCTTTATCTCACATAAATGTGTCCAGAATGATCTTTCTACCAAGTAGCATTAATCATATCAGTGTCTTGATTAGAAGCCTCCTGATGTTCCCCGCTGATTTCAGGATAATATCCACATTCCTTATGATGACAGTCAGGGTGTACCTTTCATTCTGTGGCCTTAGTCTTCCTTTCTACATCCTGCTTTTCACCAGCTATAGCTGTATTTTTTTCTAACCAGGGCAACTTGCCATTCCCTGAATGTTACCAGCTCTCATTCCCGCAAAATGATCTCTATTTAAAATGCCTTCCACCCTCCCTGATTAGTGAGCTCCTACTCATTCTTCAAAACATGGCTCAAATGTCACTTGTTATGATTTCTTCATCTCTCTCACAGAGAGCTGTGTTTCCACAGCATTTCATCCTCAGCTCCACCACAGCACTCACCACACTGAAAGTTCTCTGTCTCCTTCCACTAGACTGGGAGCTGTACAGTGCAGACACGAGAGCCTACCCATTTCCATAGACCCAGAACCTGGCATGCAATATTGTTTTGGCAAATGAATAAATAATTTGTTGAATGAATAGCTAAATGAGAGGATCACCAGATTAGGGACTGAGATGGATGAAAGCTAGTGTCAGCCCATGCGGAAGTTTGAATTGGTGGCCAAAATGATTTGGTCCTGGACTCCAGCAGAAATACATGGATGACTTTCTGAGGCCTCTGGGGTAAGCCTATGCCCTGGCCTTGGGAATGACACCAGGCCTTAAGAGTACAAACAGGAACATGGCAGTCCAGGCACACTCAGCTCCATGCTGGTCCTTAGAGCCCTCCCTTCCTTCTCTCCAGTGTTCCTGGGTGAGTGGAGACAGCAGATGGCACCAGCCCCCAGGAAGCCCAGCTTGGTCAGAGACTGCCCCAATTTCTCCAGGCCCAGCTGAATTCAACAATTTAACTATGGGCTGGGCACCATTCCAAGCAAAGCCACCCTGAGCTCCCTGACTAACAAGAGTTGTCTCCTGTGACTTAACCCAGCCAGTGAACTGCTCCAGCCTCTGTCCAAACCCCTGATTGCCATTTCATTAAAACTACTTAAACTGCCCTTACTTCCTACCTGTGGCTATCTTGAAACAAACCAATCAGAAGCACAAACTCTACTGTTTCAATGAGTCCCTGGTGAAGGCTGCAGCTCTGCTGCTCTAGCTCCCGAAGCAGCACAGAGCCCCCGGCAAATGTTCCGCTGGGACTCAGCAGCAGACGCGCAGAGAAGAGACACGGAAACTTAGACCCGAAAGTCCGTGGGGAGGGCCCCAGGCCCTGGGGTATGACGACCGCATCTGCCTAAGGCTCTCAGGGGGCTGGAGGAAGTAGGGGGCGGAGGCCAGAGCGATCAGGCCAGGCCCAGGCGGTGCCCGCAGCCCTCTCCCGGATGCGGCGACGTTTCCCCTTGATCAAAGTGTACAAGTTGAACAAGGCTCTCCTCCTGCCATTGACCCAGGCAGCCCCGAAGGGACACACTGTTGCCCAGGGATGCGGGCGGGGGGCTAATGCACTGTCACTTCTTCCGGCTAGAGTGGCCCGGCCCTCGGGCCGGGCAGTTTCAGTGCGTGCCCCACAAAACTAGCCTACCCCTTCCCAGCTTGCCACTCCCGCCCTGGTCACTGGCCCGCACTCACCGGCCACCTCGAGTCCGGGCTCATCGCCGGGGACGCCCGCCGGGGCTCCGACCCCACTTAGGGAGGCCGGCGGGGAAAGACGGGCCGGGGAGGGAGAGCCCCAATTCCGGAGACTGCAGACCACGCCACCCCGACCCCCTGCCGCCCCACGCTCTGGCCCGGCTCCCTGGGATTCCCGCGCTGACCCCTGCCGCTCCCAGTCCCGCTGGCGCCCGAGCGTCTCAATTCCGGCGGCCGCCGCCCCTTTCGAAGGCCCCTAGGTTGCCGGGTCTCGGGACCCGGCGCCGCCGGAACAATGGAGGCTCCCGGAGGCAGCGCGGGGACGGCGGCGGTGGAGACGGTGGCGGCAAAGGCAGTGGCAGCGGCGGCGGCAGCAGCAGCGGCGACGGCGTCTGCGCAGGGTAAACTTGGCGCCGCGGCGCTGCCGAGCTGCACTTTCGCCACAGATCCCCGCCCGCCCGCTGAGGCTCGAGAGGCCATTCTCTGGGATTCGGAGGGGCCTCTGGACACCTCACAGGGCTTTTCTAGCGCCTCCATCTTAGAGTTGAGTTTCTGGAGACAGAAGTTGCGCTACTTGGGATCCGGAGTGGCCGGGCCGTTTGTAGCGAATCTGCCGGCACGGACGCTGAGCGCGGGACTGGGCGTAAGGAGCCCGCCCTTCTCCCTTCCCCCTCTGCCTCTTCCCCCGCCTCCCTCCCTCCTGCTGGCGCCGCGGCTGCGGTAGGGACCTGGCCTTGGTCTCCGAGGAAGGCGGCGAGGCGGGGCCGGAGCCTCGGGGCGGGGCTGGGGGCAGGGCCAGGAGCAAGAGGGACGCGTACTGCAGCCTAAGGGGCACCGGGAGTTATGGGTAGGGGCGGGGCGGGGCTGGAAGAGAATAAACCAGTCTATGGGGCGGGGTTTGCGGGGAGTGGGCGGGGCCATCTGTAAAGCAGGCCCCAGTAAGGAGAATAGGGACTGAACTGGGGGTGAGGGGTGGGACTAAACAGAAGAGGGGGGGCCTCAGAAAAGAAAGGGCGGGGCTTTGGATGGGCCTGGAACTTGGTGCTGGGTTGGGGAGAAGATAGAGCTGGGAAAAGCCACGCGAGGCTGAAGGGAAAGGGCGGGGCTTGGAAAAGGTAAAAGGGCAAGGCTGAGGGAAGGTGTGGATCTGAAAGTAGCGGCCTGATTGGGGGCGGTGCAAAATGCTGGTTGGGTGTAAAACGGACTGTGTAAGTAAAATAAGATTCAGATGCTGGAACCTTGTAGGTAGGCGGGGAATGGCTTCATGATGTCAAAACAGCTACTTTTAATGTGACTGGGTCTCTTAGTAGCCATGTGAACTTGGGCAATTTGTTAAATTCTTCCTACCTCATATTACTTATTTGTAAACCTGAGCTCGACAACTCTATTGTCAGTTTTTTTTTTTGGGGGGGGGTAGGCTTTTGAGAACTTGGTGCCAGGAAGAGTCTATTTGTAAAACAGTAGTTGTTGCTTAGCCTGTCCAGTTTTGCCATCAACGGGGAGCGTGAAGGGGTCTGCCAGGGTTCTGGGGCAAAGCCCAAAACATCTGGAAACTTCTAATTTATCTTAGTATAAACCTTGCATTCAACCCACTATAAAGTATTTGTTTTCATATACAATGTCTTCCCCTAAACATCCTAATAAAATTGGCACTCCAGGAAGAGGTTTGCTGGTTAACATATTGGTATCTGGAGTCAAACTGTTGGGTTCTGTTTAATAAGTGACTTAACCTCTCTGAGCCTCAGATTCTTCATGTGCAAAAGATAAAACAGTGCTTATCTCACAGGATTGCTGTGAGGATTAAATAAGATGATGCATGTAAATTACTTATCAATGTCTGATATGTAGTGAATACTCAAAGAAAATATCAGCTTTTTAAATATCCTTACTCAAAAAACTTGTAACTAGATGGATTAGAGCAGATTTATACAGAATCATCTTAAAGCTGACCCCTTTTGAGGTCAAGAATCCCTTTTAGAATCTGATAAAAAGCTATGGGCCTCTCTCCTCAGGAGAAACGTACACACATAAAGATTCACTTGTTTCTTAAAGTATTTGAAGACCATCTGAAGAAGGCTTAGATGAATGTGTGTGAGGATGGGGGTGATCCCTAGCTGAAGCTGTCCTTGCTCCATCTTTCTCTTGGTGTGTCCCAGACCCTGGCAGCCCAGCCTCCCTCCCCAAGACCCATGAGACAGAAGTGGAGTAAAGATCAGTTTTATTATTGGCAAGAAGGCAGGGAGGTGGTGACAGTGCCAGGCCCTTCTGCGGGTGATGGGGCAGAGGGCTCGACCAGCCAATACTGATCCTCCAAGCTGCCCTCCCAATGAGGTCCAAGGTTCCAGGTGCCTCTGATTTTGAGCAGAAGCAATGGGTGGGCAGGCGGGCAGACTGCTGGGCATTGGTTAGGTGGGCTATTTAGGGATTCTCTGGAGCTGGTGTAGGGCTGGGGGTGGCAGGGGGTGGCAGGCGAGGTTGGATGTCCCTGGTGCGCATATAGGACAGTAGCTGCTCTGGGATCTCCGCCAGCACATCCTTGGCAAGTCGGGCCATGCTCAGCACCTGGTTCCCCGACCGGTCGACATAGTCTCGGAATGGGACAAACTGCGACAGGCACGATCAGATATGGGTGGCCAGGAGAGAGAGGACTGGGGAAGGTGGCAGGAAGGAGGCTTCCTCTTTGACCCCTAACATCTCTAAGGATCACTCTCTTTCCCACTTTATCTAGAGGAACTTTCTACATTTGCTTTCTCCCCACCCACTTTTTTTCCACCTTCTATTCACCCTTAAACCACTCTAATTTGGCTTCATGCAGTCTACTGAAACTGCTCTTGCTAATGAAGTCAACCGCACCATGTTCCCCAATCAGTCCAGCAGGCAATGATTGTCACACATCTTGCTGACTCCCCTTGAGCTTTCCATTACATTTCACCATAAATTCCTGAACACTTCCCACTCTTGACACATTACATTCTTCTAGATTTTCTCTACCTTTCTGGATGCCTCCCTGAACCAACCCCAATGCTCTAGGGTCTGCCTAATCTCTAAATCTGATGCCTTTTCTTTCTTAATTCTCTTCCTGGGTGATTTCATACACTTTCAACATATTTACAAACTGTTCCCTGGATTAAGAGGTACAAACTACTTAATATAGACAAAATAAATAAGAAACAAGGATAAATTGTGTAGCTTTTATCTTGTAATAACTTTAAATGGAGTATAAACTAAAAGCACTGAATCACTATTCTACATAACTGAAATTAACACAGTATTGTAAAGCAACTGTACTTCAATTAAAAAAAAAAGACCCTGTTCCCTGATAACTTCTACATTTATACATCCATCCCTACCTTCTTTTCTTTAAGGCCCAGAGTCACAGCTTAGTTGCCCATATCACATCCCCTTTCATTTGTCTTGGATAACTCAAGCCCAATGTGTTTACACCTGAATTCTAGGCTTTTCTGCCAAATCTGCTCCTCCTCCAGCCTTTCCTTTCCCAGTAAGTGAGACTATCACTCACCCAGGGGCTCAGTCTAGGAAACTAAGAATCATTCTTGAAGCCCCCCTGACTTCCTGTCGCCATTTAATCAAATATTCAATTCTCATACATTTTTTCTTAAATTGTCTTTTGAACCTGTTTCTCCTCTCCATCCTCACTGCTCCTATTCCCACCCAAATCCCTCGACTGCTTCGAAGGCTTCCTCACTAACAGATCTTCCTGCCTTCTCCCTCATCCTGCTGCAGTCCACGTTCCTGCAGCCTCTCTGCATGTCTCAAATGTGAGACTGACCATCTCACTTCTCTATCTAAAATCCTTCAAGAGCTTTCTAATTATTTCAGAACAAAGTCCCAAACTTCACCATGACTGGCAGGGCCTTGCCTTCCTTTTCCACTCACTGCTGTGATCCTGCCACTCAGGCCTCTTGCCTTCTCCATGATTGGGCCAGTTATTTCGAACCTAAGGGCCTTCTCACCTGCTGCTTCTCTGAGGCTTGTTATGCTTATACCTTGCTTTAGATTTCAGTTCCAATGTCATTTCCTCATAGTAGCCTTCCCTGACAATCCTGCCTAATCAGATCCCGGTTACAGACTCTTACTGTGGCATTTGCTGTCCCTCTGGAGCACTTAGCACAATCTAATGAACTGTGCCATTATTACTGGCTGCCTCCACTAGAGGGCAGGTGCCTTGGGGATCTCTTACACTACGAATCCACCATGGCTGCAGCAACCTGCCTGTTTCTCAAAAAGAATTTGTTGAATGAATGTAGGAAGGCTGAAAGAGTGAAGGGAAGAAAGGTAAGTGATTAAGAAGGCAGTAAAGGGACTGCCCTGGTGGGCCAGTGGTTAAGAACCCACCTGCCAATGCAGGGGACGCAGGTTCAATCCCTGGTCCAGGAACATCCCACAGGCCTCGAGGCGCCTAAGACTTCGCGTCACAACTACTGAACCTATGGTCTAGAGGCCACGGGTCACAGAGCCCAACCTCCGCAACAAGAGAAGCTCACACACCTCAACTAGAGAGTAGCCTCCACTCCCATAAATTTGAGAAAACCCTGCATGCAGCAATGAAGACCCAGCAGAGCCAATAAATAAATAAAAATTGAAAAAAAAAGAAAGGCAGGCAGTAAAGGGAAATGGCTGCAAACTTGGCCCCTCCTTCCCACCATGCCTTTTGACACCATGACTTTCTTTTGTCCCCATGATATCAGGTCTACCTGAACGATGTCGCGCTCAGCATAGCGTCCCCTAGAGGACACGCGCACATCATCACCATCCAGCTCTTCCATAGCTGCAGAAAAGACACCCCTCAGCTGATTGGCCTTTCCCACAACAACCCATGCTACCCTCTGCCTCTTAGCTCCCCTTTGGAGTCATCAAGAGACCACCTAATGGTTGTATCAAAGTCCTACAGATATTAGGCATTGTAATGGAGTTATTATTATTTCCTCCCAGGCATTCCATCATCCTAGGAGCCCCAGGAGGGAAGTATTTGCATCAACAACCTCGGTTATAATGAGGAAATGGGTTCAGAGAAGGTCTGACTTGCCCAAGGTCTGACACAGGCATCCATCCTATCTTCTCTATGAGACAGGCCTGGGTTCCCAGATCCTCCTCTATTTTCCCCAGTTCTTGGTCCCACTCATGAAAACCCCCCATCTTACTCACCTTCAAACATGGCCGGTCCCACACCGACAATAATGATAGACATGGGCAGTGATGAGGCCTGTGAGGGGAAAGAGGGTAACTGGTTGGGGTGAGCAGCCATAACAAGGGAAGTGACTCTTGGGGGACAGTTCTCTCTGTGTGTGATATTTCAGCACATCTTACAAGCAGAGGCACTGATTTCTCTTTGTGCCAGACTGTCTTTTCAAGTATGTCTGCATATGTAACAGCCTTGAAAGATACAGGGTCTTCCTATACACAGCAAAGGGCGGGTTTGTTTACGTCCAGTATAATAAAATGTCTCCTGCTGGAACAAAGAGCAGGCATGCTTACTGCCCATGATAAAAGGCTCAGGCTTTCTACACTCAGGGTTTCTGTTCCATAATACAAACCACTGGTCATCTGGCCCTTGGCACATTATCTTCTGGGAAGTGGGACTTAGTGAATCAGAGCCAATGCTGATAGTTGAGCTGTTGCTATTGCTGGGAATAGTGGCATGTGGAATCTCAATTCCTCGACCAGGGATTGAACTCATGCCCCCTGCAGTGGAAGTGTTGAGTCTTAACCACTGGACTGCCAGAGAAGTCCCACGCACCTTTGCTTTTGATCCAGAAGTCTGTGTCCACTGCCAGCATCCATGAAATTGGCAGCCTGACTTGTTAGCTTGCATGTAGGGCAAAATCTCCACCCCTGGACAGTTATTAACAGTGACCCCTCCCTGCCGAACCCTCCTCAGACTTACACTGACGATGGCCTCCTTTGTCTGCGTCATGTCAGAGATGACCCCATCAGTTATGATGAGCAGAACGTAGTACTGGGAACCATCAGAGATCTTGGCTGCAGCCCTGGGGGAGAGGCTAAGATCAGAATTCAGCTGAAAGCCCAGAGAGTCCAAAGAAATGTCTATCCCTAAAACGTCCACAGCCGGCCCGGTAAGCAGAGGACAAGGACTGCGGCTTCGGAAGCTCATGCTCCTTTCCCAGAGCTGCTGCCTGCCCACTCCTACCATCCCTCCAGTGACACTCACAGAGTGTTTACTATGGTAGCTACTGTGTTAGGTAGGCTATGTTAGGCACTGTGAGAAAGAAACAGTCCCCCAAATCCTTTTGAGAATGGACAGTGAACCAACAATCACAGAAATAGCTGTAGAATTGCATTTGTGAGGAGAGTTAGGAGAGAAAAAGCTACTGCTATGACAGCATCCTGTAGGGGATCTTGACATGGCCCAGGTCAATGAAGACTTCTTTAAGGAAACAATGTTTGAGGATGAAGGAGAAGAGGAGGGAGAGGAGGCTAAGTGAAGGGGAGGGGGAGGTCACTCCAGATAGAAGGAACAGCATGGACAAAGTCCCTGTAATGAGACTGGAGGAAGTCTACTCTGTCTGGAGTTCAGAAAGTGAGGGGAGCAGAGTGGACCATATGATTGCAATGGGGTGGGGCCCAGATCACACACGACTTTGTTGGCCCTGGAGTGATCCTGGTGTTTATACAAGAACAAGACCAAAGACTGAAGGCCTTCTTTCTTCCTTTTCTCACCCATTTCTCCTTCTCCCTTCTCCCTTCTGCTCATCACATCCCATTGCCTAGGCTTCTGGCTCCTCAGCCAATCTAACAGCTGCTCCCAGTCTTTTTCCTTCTCTCACTATCAGTCTTTGACTCTCAAGATTTTTTGATCTGAAATGAGTTCAGAATTCATTGAGACCAGTCCCCTTATTTTATACATAAGAGAAACAAGACCTCAGACAGCACAAAGGCCATGGCAGACTCGGTCTCTTGACTTCCAGTCTCAAGCCCTGTGAGGATTGGAAAGGATGGAGCTGCACTATCCAGTAAGACAGTCCCCAGCTCATATGGAAATTTGTATAAATTAAGTTAAATAAAATTATCTCAGTTACTTGTTTGCCCAAGCAACACTCCAGGTGCTCAACATCTGTATGTGGCTGGGAGCTACCATACAGGACATCACAAGATACAGAACATCTCCATCATTGCATCCATCACTGCAGAGTTCTGTCGGGCAGTGCTGATATCTAAGCTTGATATAAAAAATCCAGAGGAAAGCATAGTGAGAGTGGAGAATTCAAACAGCTACAGTTCATTTTGCCCAGGGCCCAGGGTGGGAGTGGGCCATGATCCTCCCTAGCAGCCTTGCTCTTTTCCTGAATTCTGGCTGCGGCCTCTTCATAGGCTTGGGCTGCCACTGTTTCCTGTCATTCACTCATTCTGCAAATAATCACTGCACACCTGCTGTGTCAGGCACCAAGTTGGTACTGAGCCTGCAGCAGAGAATTGGCTGTTGTCCTGTGGGGAGATGGATGCTTACAGCACGGCGATGCCATGAGGCGAGGGCTTTGAGGAGATGACGTCTAACCTAAGACCTGAAAAGTGAGTAGGAGTTAGCTAGGATGAGGTGGAGGCAGAGGTGGGGTGGGGGAGGGGGAGGGTAAAGGGAGGGTGCTCCAGGGAGAAGGAATGGCGTGTGCAAACTGAGAGAGAGTGTGTTCGAGGAGCTGCAGGTAGAATACAGAAGACAGAGGAGGTCAGAGCAATGGGTAACTCTCATAAAGGGATCTGTGAGCAGGAGCATTGAGGGGTGGTGTGGAAGGGTTTGGGGACTTGGGAGGCACATCTGTGGCTCCCTGCAGAAGTCTGGCACCCCCAAGGCCATTTAGACCTGGAGCTGGGTGACAGGCCGGGGGAAGTCAGTCTGCGCCCCACTTGTCTGTGGGGTGGCAGACAACGAAGAGGCATCTGTGATCATCAAAATCATGGCTGCACACTTGACATACATGACCTGATTGAATCCTCACCACCATTCTAAGAGGTGGGCACATTTGTTATTCCAAAGTGAAGTTTACAGGCATGAGTAATAACATTCCAAAGGGGTGGTGAAGCCAGGGCCCCAGTCCACACCTGACCGACTAAGCCTAAAGCCTGAGCTCTTGGTGCCGCCAGGCTTCATTCCCGCCTGCTCTTTGGCTACTCCTCCATGCACACTGCACGTTCTGATCTGGGTGTACTGTTCACTGTCTACCGAGCTTGCCCCTTCGTGCCTCTGTGCTCTTCACATGCAGTTCCTGCCGCCAGGCCTGCTCTGCACGTCTTCCTCTGATAAAGTCCAGTTCGCCCTCTGCACCCAGCCAAGCAGTCAGGTCCCTCCACAACTAGGCTGCCTTGGGTCTCTTGGATGCTACCCACCAAGATGGGCTGCATGCCCTTCATGGGTTCTTACACCCATGAGTGTACCAACATGTATGCCAAGGGGAACCCAAGGTCACAGGATACCTGAAGCACCCATTACACTATATGATCTGGTGGATAATGCTAGATGTCTCTAAGTATACTTAAAACACACCTCCCCACACCTTAAATTATAGCAAATATGGACACAATGTCAGAAGCATGTAAAATTTGCATGAATTGTTAAGATAAAATATAGGGATTTCAAAGACATTTTCAGGTTGGCTGCTTTCAACCAGGCCCCCAGTTTCCCCTAGGGGAAGCAGTTGTTTGCCTTTGCCAATAGGCGACTTGCTGGAAAAGTCTGGGAAGCTCTGGCCTGTAGAAGGTAATGATTTATTTATATTTCTGTCTCCTGAGCCAAGGCGGGAGATCTCAAGGGCAGAGACTAGATCTGATTCATCTGAGTCTCCAGCACCCCAGCAGATATCTGAGCACATACAGATGCCCTTTGAATAGTAATAATGATAATAATAGTAATAGCTCACACCTATACCACTTACCATGTGGCAGGCACTGTTCTATGTGCTTGACGAATATTAAGTTAGTCCTCACAACAGCTCTGCTGCTGCCAAGTCGCTTCAGTCATGTCTGACTCTCTGCGACCCCACAGATGGCAGCCTACCAGGCTCCCCTGTCCCTGGGATTCTCCAGGCAAGAACACTGGAGTGGGTTGCCATTTCCTTCTCCAATGCATGAAAAGTGCATTGGAAGTGCACTGAGAAGTGCATTGAAAAGTGAAAAGTGAAAGTGAAGTCGCTCAGTCGTGTCTGACTCTTCGCGACCCCATGGACTGCAGCCCACCAGGCTCCTCCGTCCATGGGATTTTCCAGGCAAGAGTACTGGAGTGGGGTGCCATCGCCTTCTCCACACAACAGCCCTATGATGTAGCTATTATTATTCTCATTTACAGTTGAGGAAAGAGACACAGAGAGGTTCAGAGTCGTGCCAAAAGTGACACAGCTAGTAAGTAGTAGAGTGGGTGTATTAACTTGGTCTAGCTCTACAGCCCACGTTCATGCTACATTTTTCTTTATGGAATATTCATTGAATCAGTAAATGAATGAGTGGATCAGTGAATTTGCCAAAGATAATATTTAAATCTGTTTAATAGCAATAACAAAAGAAAATGTGCTCAGGTCCCATTATTAAGTGAAAAGATCAGTAGTGAAATGTTATATCAAATTTGACTGCCATTATGGCTACATAAGGAAAAGACTATCATTAACTATATATATATAGTTATATTATATATGTTATATATATATAACTATGTATATATAATATATATAGTTTTATATATATATATATCTCCACATTCTCATGGGCCATTTTCTGGGTCATTTCTTATTTAATTTCTCCATCCTTAAAATTTCAACAGCAATGTTACATTACTTTTGTAATTAAAGAAACTATTATCTCATGATGAATTAGAAGATAAGCTAATCTTTATTAGAGGAAAAGGGAGTCTCTGGATATATATATATCTCCCTGAAATTCTTCCACTTTTATTGTTTTTTTTGTTTCATCTTTTTACTTTCAAGTTTTCTGAGGTATTTTGTTTTACATGGGTCTCTTCTATTTAGCATATAGTATGTATGTGAAAATCACTCAGTTGAGTCCAACTCTTTGCAACCCCATGGACTCTATAGGCCATGAATTCTCCAGGCCAGAATACTGGAGTGGGTAGCCTTTCCCTTCTCCAGGGGATATTCCCAACCCAGGGATCGAACCCAGGTCTCCCACATTGCAGGCAGATTCTTTACCAGCTGAGCCACAGGGAAGTCCAGGAATACTAGAGTGGGTAGCCTATCCCTTCTCTAGGGGATCTTGCTGACCCAAGAATCGAATTGAGGTCTCAGGCGGATTCTTTACCAACTGAGCTATCAGGGAAGCCCTTAGCATATAGTAGAATTATTATTTTTTAATCAATCAGAGAAACTTTTTCTTTTAATAGGTAAATTTATCCAACTTAAGTTCATTGACATATGTTCGGTTTTAGTTCAGTCATTTTATTTGCATTAAAAATCATTTGATATATAAGTTGGATTTTCTTTGCTTTGTGTTTTTATTCTGAAAATTTGGAGTTACTCTTCTATTTTTAGAAATTACTTTTCATCGTTAATCTACAACTTGAGCTCATTTTAATCTACCATGAGCACTGACTATGGGCCAGACACTGTGCTAATTATTCTTATATTGTTACCTAATTTTAAATCCCCAATATCCCTAGAAAAATAAGATGCTTTTATCATCCATTATTATACCCATTTACATGGATGAAATGGAGGCTTAGAAAGAAGTTAAGTTGCTTCAGGTCAGATGAGGTTAGTGACGGTGGACCCAGGGTCACTCCCAGGTTTGATGCCAAAGCTTGTGCCTCATCCACTGTTCTATAGGTTCTTCTCTCTTCCCCAAACTAGACGCCTGGTTTGTTGTTCCCAGGAAGTGGGGTTGGGGCAGTTCACTGACACTCTTTCTACCTCAGAATAAGGCCTGATGTAACTTCCTTATACCAGAGCTTGGCCAACACTGAAACTTTCACCCTTTCCCCAAAGCCTAAATTCACTATCCTTGGGAAGTCAATCCCCTGTCTGGTCCCCTTAATTTCCCCCAGGTCCATCCAGTTTCCTTACCTGGCCACCTGGTTGATGACAGGGGCAAAGTAGGTGGGCCCGTAGAGCTGCACTGTGCGCAGGCTCTGGAAGTAGCTCTCCAACACGCCCTCGATGCCCGCGCAGTTGGGGTCCTCATCATTGTTGTTCTGTCAGGGAAGATGCCCTGCTGGACTGATCCCAGCTCACTCTTGCCTTTCTCCACCGCTCTCTTTCATACTCCCCTCCAGACTCCAACCCAGCTCCCCTCCTTGCTCTGCCACCCTCCCCTAGATCCTGCTCTTCTGCATGTCCTTGACCCTTAGAAGAAAATCTAAGTAGAAGAATTTTGTCAACTTGGCTGGGCCAGATTCCAGAGTGTGGAGTCTAGGCTCTGGCCCATACCGTACCAGGGGGAACTGGTGGGAGATCCGTCCCTCTGGAGGGAGCTTGGCGCCAAAGCCGTAAGCTGGGAAGAGCTTGTCACTGTCATAGTCCTGGATGATTTCTCCCACTGCCTTGAGGGCCATGGCATAGGCGCTGAGCTGATAAGGACTCATGTAGTGCAGGGAGGTGGGCTGCAGGGGATTCCCTGTAGGGAAACAGGAGCCCCACCTCATGGTCATCTTGATGATCTGTCTGTTCACCTGCCTGTCTTTGTATGCATCTATGCGCTGCCTATCCATTCATCCACTCTTTATGCTGTTGTTGGTGTTTTGTCTCTAGGTCGTGTCCGACTCTTTCATGACCCCGTGGACTATATCCTCTGTCCATGGAATTCTGCAGGCAAGAATACTGGAGTGGGTTGCCATTCTCTTCTCCAGGGGATCTTCCCAACCCAGGGATTGAACCCATGTCACCTGTGCTGGCAGACAGATTCTTTACCACCGAGCCTCCAGAGAAGCCTCTTTACCCATGTACTCCTTCATTATTTTACTCAGTCATACAAATGTTCATTTTCAAACTATCCATGTACCAACCCCTATATCTATCCATCAGTTCATCCACCTGCTCATACATCTATTCACCCATCCACTGGCCATAAATCCATCTACCTGTTCATCTCTATCCATCTGCTTCTCCATCTTCTTATCCAGTTAGCCACCCACCTGTGCATCCAGCCAGCCAGCCTGCCATCTATCCACTTGCTAACCTGCCATTTCTTTCTTTCCCATCCGTCCATTTAACCATATTCTTTTGTCCATCTACTCATTCATCCATCTCTATTCATCCCATTCATTCACCTGTCTGTCCTCATATGGATCCATGCACTATCCACCTGTCCACTCATCTGTTTTCCCAGTTTAAACACCTGTCCATTTGCCCACCCACATGCCAGCTCATGCGTCCACCTCTTCAGCCTATGGTACTCACTCAGACCCACTGGCTCACACTATTCATCTGTCTACCCACACCTATTTATCCACCCTTTCACCTGTTCATTAGTACACTTCTGTTCCCTCCCATCCATTCATTTACTCATCCACTTCTCAAGCTACCTAGAGCTATTTATCCTTTCGATTTTCTTTGATCCATTTACCCACTTACCTTTCTGTACTCTCTCCCACCATTACCTCCACAACACTCCTGCCCCAGTATTAGCCTGACTGGGCCTTGCCTCAAGGCTGGGCTTCCTGGGTAAGTTAACTCTTATTCCCAGGTTTTAATTCAGGCCTATCCCTAATGACTTCCTTAGAATCCCTCTACACCCTGTTCCCCCATCCATGCCTCACCATTGGAAGCTGTGAAGTCAATGGCTACTGTGAAGTTCAACTGTGTCCTGTTGGGGAAATAGATGGATTGAGAAATGAGGGACTAATACTTACTATACCAGGATTTCTCAAACACTTGTATGCATCTGAATCACCTGGGAGTCATGTTAGAAGGCAAATTATGATTTGGATGGTCTGGGTGGAGCCTGAGATTCTACATTTCTAACAAAATCCCAAGTGAGGCAGATGCTGATGGCCCATGGAACACACTTTGGGGAGTGTGTTCCCACATGCCTCATTCATTCCGAAATGCCTACGTCATGACATAATATGCATAATTTAATTTAACCCTTACTATAGTCCTAAAGTAGTAATTAACATCTCCATTTTACATTAAAATCAGGTTTAGAGAAAAAAAGTACCTCTCCGAGGCCTGCTTGCCTCCACTAAGCCAAGGAGAACGTCCCCTAGAGCCTGGTTGTCTTCTCCTTCTCTCTTGGCCTCTCCCTCTTGCCTAGCCATATCTTCTGTCTGGGCTCCAGTAAGGCTACGGGGGACCACTGGTCTGTCATCTTCCCAGGGGGGTGGAAGCTAGGGCTGAAAGGCAGCCCCATGGAGAGAACTACGATGGACAGCACTTTGCAATTTATAGTCTGCCACGTGTTTTCAAGATCTCATCGGATCTTGACCATTAATGAAGAGTAAAACTGAGGCTCAGAACTGGGAGAAACTCATTGCTGGACTTTCAGTCCAGAGCTTGGCTGTGACTCACCCTCCCTTGATGTAATCGACAAAAGTGAACTCAGAGTCCACAGAAAAGGAGAGCAGCGTCACCTGTGGGACAGAAGAGGCAGCCCTGCTATTTGGAAAGGGTGGTTGCGCTAGAGAAAGGGAAAGAGGCACTTGACTCCAGCCGCTGACCCACCCTGTTCAATTTCTGAAAGGGCAAAAGGGGAAGCCATCAGAAACATACTTGGATTTCCAAAAGTATATTAAATATACTTTTGTATATTTAAAAAGTATATGAAATAAAACTTAGGGTTCCCCCCCAGAAAAACCTGCAAAAGATTAAAGATCAAACAAATTTCCTTAGGTGAGGGGAAAAACAATAAAAAACAAAACAAAAGGAAAACAAAATGGCGCCACCTTGTATCCAACATCACTATGTGCAAGTAGTCTGCTCCCATAGCTCTCCCATACCCTCACCGAGTGGTCATGCTGTGTGTCCCCATGCTGGGGACAGAAACGGAAGGATCCACAGAGGGCCAGAGCTCTAGGGAGTACTCACAGTTCCCGAGTTGACGTATTTCTTCTTCTTACATTTCTTCCGAGGGTTAAGTACCTAAGTGCAGTAAGGTAACGGTGATGGTGGGACACAGAGGAAGGGAAGCACAGACTGAGCACACTTGGGGTGGAGGCCTGGGAAAGCTGGGCGGGGCTGAGCTCTCACCTCATACACAGTGAACTGGTTCTGGGCCTTGCTCAGCTCTCGGTAGCTGGTGGTGAACTCACCGATGAAGTCGTGGCTGCAATGAGGCCAGGGGCAGGTAAGCGACTGCTGCTGGCTTGGAGCCACCCCTGAGACCAGTCTTTTACCCTCACTATCCCCTGCCGCCACTTGGTCTGCCAGGCACTGGGCCTTGGGTCAGAAGAGAGACCAACCTAAGAGGGAGAGAAGGGAAGAGACGGTGTCCCCGAGAGACAACTGAGGGTCGTCACCATCTCTGGCTCCCAGGGCTACTCTGCGGTTCCTAGTGAGTGTGCTACACATTTCAGGGAACTGTTTGGTTTAATTATAGGAGAGGGCAGTGCTACCTTCCATCCCGGTCCCAGTCATACACGTCAATCTTCACCGTTCTGAAATGTAGGAGATAAACATAGGCTAGGTTTGTAGGATAAATCTGAGACACCCCCATCCATCTAGTCAAGATGGTCTTGAATATACACAGATCATCCTTCCATCCATCCATTTGTCCTGCTATCAACCTTCCTCCCATCTGTCTTATCCATTTATCAGTCCATGAATGTACCCAGCTATCTACTGATACTATCATTATTACTATTGCTGCTGCTGCTGCTATTTGTACTACTATTACTATTCTTTACTACTGATTTAAAAAAAATATTTTGGCCACACTGCATGGCTTGTGGGATTGTATTTCCCTGACCAGGAACTGAACCCAGGCCCTCAGCAATGAAAATGCAGAGTCCTAACCACTGTACTGCCAGGGAATTCCTTTGCTTCCCTGATGGCTCAAAAGGTAAAGAATCCACCTGTAATGCAGGAGATGTGGATTTGATCCTTGGGTCAGGAAGACCCCCTAGAGTAGGAGATGGCAACCCACTCCAGTATTCTTGTCTGAAAAAACCCATGGACAGAGGAGCCTGGTTGGCTGTAGTCCAGAGGGTCGCAAAGAGTCAGACACAACTGAGTACACACACACACACACACATTCCAGGCATTGATCTCAGCACTTTCACTGACTAATTTAACAAGAACTCTGTAAAGCAAGTATTAATACTATTATTACTTTTGAATAAGGACACTGAGGCCCAGAAACCAGTAACTTGACTAAGGACCATAACAAGTAAATTGCTGAGCTGAGATTTAAACTCTGACATCCTGGTTCCAAAGACTATGTTCTTTTTTTTTTTTTTCCAAAGACCATGTTCTTAACAGCTATGCCTAAGTCATCTTATATGGCCATTGACCTATGCAGCAGTTCATTCAACCATCCATCCTGCCATCTAATCACTGTTTTACCCATACAAATTTACCAATCAATTACTTATTAAACTCTATCACCCATATAACTATACATCCCGCCCTTCAATGACTCACTGATACATACAAGCATCCATCTGTATCTCCACGCATCTACCCAACCAAACACTCAGCCATCTGGTATTTGTCTATCTAATCAACCACTCGTCTACATAACCATCTACTTATGGGCCCACTCACCTATCTTCATACTGCCCATTTGTGAATTCATATGGTCAGCCTGTCCATCTACTTTACACTCACCCATCCATTCCCTCTACCACCCGTTCATCTGTCTATCCATTAATGTACCTGTCATTCCACCTGTTTACCCTCCTGCTTTTTCAGTCACCCCTCTGCCTCTCTAACCAACCACCGATCTCTCATATACCCATCCAGCCTCTCATGCATTTAGCCATCCATCCATTAATCCACCCATCATCTATCCATCCACTAATCCACCCAGCAGTCCATTCACTCATTCATCTGCTATCCATTCATCCATCCCACCCACCAGTCCTCTTATACACCCATCCACATACCCATCTATTCATGCACCAGTTTATCCATTTGCCTGATTATCTATCCATGTATCTGCTCATTCACTTATTCATTTGCCCTTTCATCCATTCATCCATCCACCCATCCATCTGTCCATCTACCTATTCATCCATGTGGCTATCCACCTGCCTTTCCAGGCACCCATCTCCATGTCCAAAACTCTGTCTCACTGAGCAGGATCCTCCAGTGCTATTATGGCGCTTCTACCTTCATTCTTCGGCCCAAGAACCCCGCTCTCACACCCTTGTCCCCCTACTCCTTAGCTTATACTGACACAGACCTGTCATAGTCTCCATTGCACAAGGCCCGCACGGGGATGCTGAAGGGCTGCCATACAGGATTCAGTGTGTTTTTCACAACTTCTGTCTTGTGGCAGATGGTGAACCTGGAGAGGACAAGAGGACTGGAACCTGCCTTTGGGGTAGGACTGAGCCCAGAGACGGGCCTGATATGCTTGGTTTAAGCACATATTGGGTGCTGCTTTAAGTGAATTCTGGGCTCAGGTCCTGATGGAGTCTAAGATGTCCCAGCCTAAGAGCCCTAACGGGCCCACGGCATCAGTGGGAGTGGTGACTCACGTGCCATCCTCATTGCTCCTGTAGAACACGAGGAAAGGGTCTGATTTCCCAAAGAAGTCCTTCTTGTCCAGTTTGTTTGCACACAGCTGCATGGTGGCAATATCCTGCGGATGAAGTTGGACTACTGACACTCAGACAGCCCGCTGCAGGGAGCTGGGGAGAGGAGGGCCTCCTGGGCCTAGCCTGTGGCCCTTACTGACCCGGCAGTTGCTCAGCTCCTCTGCAGTCAGCAGTATGGTCCCACACCTCTTGCCTGGTACACCCCTGGAAGCAGAAGAAGCCTCTTTGTGAGGGGGAGGGTCGGAAACAGGATTGGGGTGGCCAGTCTGGGATTGGGTAGGCCAGGGGATTCAGTTTGCCATTTATTGGCTGTCCTGAGTGTTTCCATCTCTGGTGGGGTAGGACCTGACTTGGACTGGGAAGGGTCTCTGGTCTGGAAGGAAGGGCTTAATTTAGCCTGTGTGGACACCTCATAAGGGGAGCATGGGAAACATAGGATTTAGAGTTCTGGGCAAGTTGTTTTCCCTTTCCTTGGGCCCTTGGTTTTCTCTTTATGTAATGGGAATCTTGTCCACCTCTTAGAGTTGTGAAAAGATCAGAATGAATGTATGGAATAAAAAGCAGTTGGTAAGCTTGGTAGATATGAAGGTGGTTCTGTTTCTCAAAGCAGACTCTGCTTATACGCCAGGCATTGTTTTAGGTACAATTTGGCCGGCTGGCACCATCCAGCTCTGCCAGACCCTGCCTTCAGGGAGTTTCCAGGGGCAGGTGGGATGTAGAATGTGATGTGATGCAACAGTCCTGATGCATAAGGACTGGTTTGTTAGGTCAAAGATGCTGTGCTTTCAGAAGATTGTGAAGAGTGAGGTCTAAAAGACCAGGGCAGCCTTATCCTCTTCTGATCCAAGAAGGGACACTTGCATATGCCTGGACACCCATCTCCAACTTGCTTTGGGTCTCCAAGCAGTCAGAGGCCTTGTGGATATGGGCCTGCCAACCCTAAACTCCAGGAGAGCCAAAGTGTGACAGAGAGGAAGCTAGGTTGGGAATATTCTCAGTTCAAGTTTTGATTCCAACTTGCCATGTGATTTTCGTCATCTTTAATATGAGAATTTGAACCATTTCGTTGGCTCTTTTGATCTCTGATTCTCTGTGCTTTAAAAAGATAGCGTGTAATGAGTGCAGGGACTCTCCACCTGCACACCCAGAAGCGAGTCACTGATGCTACTGCCTTCTCACTGTTCTTTCTCTCCTTAATGTTCTCCCTCATCTCCTCACCCAGTGTGAATTCCAGTCACTCTGGACTATAATAATCACTCCCTTGCATCCTACTCCTTTCCCCTAGCCCTTCTCTCACTTCTGTCTACTTATTTGGCAGAACCACAGCCTGAGTTAAATCCAGTTCTCTGCCTAACCCATACCACACCTGTGCAACTGGATATGGCCAGAGGAAAACCCACACTCATTTTAGATGTGTGACCACAAGGGTCAAGAAGGTCCTTAATCAGACTGTGCATTCTGAGTCCCTTCACTCTCCAGTGCTGTGAGATGGCGCTTGCACTCCTCCTCCTCTCTCCTCAACCCAAAAAGCCTCCTCCTCCGTCCTCACTCTCAGCCAATGACCTTGTTTCCTACTTCACTGACAAAGCTGAAGCAACCAGAAGACAGTGTCCACAGACCCACCAGACACCTACCCTGCCTCCAGTATCTTCTCCCACACGAGGCCTTCCTACCGTTGCTATAAATGACTACCATGTGCCTATTTATCCCTCCCCTGTGTGCTACATTCCACACCCTCCCTCTTGCCTGTACAGAGACATCACTCCAGCAACTGTCCCCCCTTTTTTTTGATCATGGCATGAGGCATGTGGGATCTTAGTTCCCCGATCAGGGATCGAACCTACACCCTCTGCACTGGAAACAGAGTCTTAACCACTGGACCACCAGAGAAGTTCTTTCCCTCTTTGTATTATGTCAGATTTTCAGATTCTACTAGATCATTCCTATTAGCATACAAATGTGATATAATTTTTTTCAGGTTAAAATATTACAGACCTCTTCTTGATCTCTCCAGCCACCCCTCCTTTTCTCTTCTCCTCTTTGCAGTAAAATTCCTTGAAAGATTCCTAATTCCCATTTCTCTCTTCCATTCTCTTCTAAACCCCCCTAACCAGGCTGTTATCCAAACCTCCTCTTCAAAACTCTGACAAGCAGAGTCACCAGCGACTGCTGTCTTGCTAAACCCAATATCTAGTTCCCAATCCTCACCTTTCTTGACTGCCGCAGCATTGACATGATCAGCCACTCTCTTGTCATTGATGCACGTCCTTTGCTTCCAGGACAGCACCACCCGCTCTTGGTTATCCCATTTCATTAATGCTCCTTCTCAGTCTCCCTTCCTAGCTCCAACACATGGAATTTTGGTCTTTGGTCTTCTCTCTCTTTCCTCACTCCCTTAGTGATCTCATCTAATCTCATGTCCTAAAAGAGCATGTAAGATTTATGTTTCTTATTGCCTATTTGACACATCTACTTGTCTAATAAAAATTTATGAAATTCAATACGTCATACTGAACTCCTCATTGACTTCCTCCCACAACTTACTCCTCCCTCACCTAAAAAAAAATTATCTCTATTTATGGCAACTCCATCTTTCCACTTGTTCAGGCCAAAGGCCTTGGTGTCATCCTCGACTCTTTTTATTCTCTCACGTCCATATTCAGTCTGTCAGGAATCTGCTGCTCCATCTTCAGTTTATATCCAGAATCTAACTAATTCTCTCCTCCTTCACTGCTGGCACCGTAGATTACTTCCACTTTTGCCCCCCCACCGCCCCCCCAGGATGTAGTCTCAACCCAGCAGCATCCTTTGAAAGCAAGTTAGAGCATTCCTCTGCTCAGAACTCTCCACTGACTCCCAACTCAGAGTAAAAACTAAAGTCCTCACAGTGGCTCCCAGGCCCTAACCGTGAATTCACCAAGCTCACCTCCTCCTTTCTCCCCACTGCTTACCCAGTTCCACCTACACTGGCCTCTGTGCTGCTGTTTGAACACATCAGACTTCTGCACAGGCAGTTTCCTCTCCTGGAACATCCCTCCTCCAGATATCAGCACAGCGCACTCCATTACTTTCTTCAGATTATTGCTCCGAAGTTACCTCTCCATGAGGCCTCCTCAACCCTCCTATAGAACACTGCAGCACCCATCATCCTGCATTTCTGGTCACTCTAATTCTGTTCTACTTTCATTCCACAGCACTTCATGTCTTCCAGGACATTATGTAATTTACTTATTTATCATTTCAGTTTTGTACTATTTCTCTCCCTCTTCTGTTACATAAGTTCCCTGAGGGCAGGAGCCTTTGTTTCGTTCACCACTGCAACCCAAGCCACTTGAACAGTGGCTCACATAGAGTATATGCTCAGTAGTGTTTGTGGAATGGACAAATCCTTGGTACCCAGCCCAGGGTATAGCATACAAAATGTGCTAATAAATATTTAGTGAGTGAATGTAATGTAAATTCCAGAGAACTTGATTTAGTGAGGAAGACTTGGAAGTGGACCTTAAAGGTTGAATCAGATTCAGAAAAAGAGTGAGGAGAGAGAATGAGAGAGAGAGGAGATACGTCAGGACTGAGAGTGAATTGAGCAAAGCCCTGAAGATTGGATTTTCCCAGGAGGTGATGGGAGCCATTGAAGGCACCTGACCAGGGGAATCCCAGCCTCCAACAATACACAGTCAGCTGCATCTTTAGGAGAATTCGGAGGCCCGCCCCTCCCCCATTCCCCTTCAGGTTCAGCTCACGTGAGGGGTCGCTCAACTCGGCTGCCCTGGCCTCCGATCACCTCTCCGAGGGCCAGGAACGCTTGGCCCAGGAAATCCTGCACGGGGATACAGAGTCAGCGAGGACAGGAGTGGCTGGTGGTGAGAGTCCCAGCCCGGCCCTGGTGATGCTGCTGCACTGACCACTGTGACTGGAGGCAGTGGAACCACCCAGCCAGGACTTCAGAGGAGGGATGCGGCCAGACAAGCCGCCCTTCTTGGTCCTGATATCTGGAGCCCACGGCCTCTACCCTGCCAAGATACCATCCCACCCCTCACCTTTCACACACACCACACGCTGACCCCGCCCAGCCCCATTCAACCTCACCTTCTGAGGGTCCCAGAAGCAGTCGAAAAGGAAGAGTAGCAGTGAGTAAGAGGCACAGGCGGGAAACCGAGGCAGGAACAGGAGAGGAGGGTAGGGAGGGCAGGTTCGGGGCCGAAGAAGGTCGAGTCGGGTTTGAGGGGTAGGAGGGTTCTAAGGAGGGTCGTTTAACACGAAGTGAGCGCCGCCTGTGTGCCCAGCCTGCCTGTGAGGGAACGGTAGCTCACCGGTTTGGAGATGTTGGTTTTGGAGTCGACGTTGTACCTGGGAAGAGAGTGGGACCAACATGGGGCGTGGGTGGTGGGAGAGAGCCTGGAAAAGGGGTCCGATTTCGAGTCCAGGTTAAAATTGTGGGTGGAGGATGGGGCAGTCTTGTACTGGAATTCAACCTGGACCTCCTTTGGACAGGAGTCGGGGTCAGAGGGAGTCAGACCAGGGCGAGGTCAAGTCCGGGGCCTGCTGGAGGCAGGGTCACCTCAGAGGTGGGACTTAGAAAGGGGCGGAGCCAATTAAGGAGAAGGGATGTCAGCAGGACTAGGCCTGGGGAGTGGCCAACCTAGACTTGGGGGCTGCGCTAAGCCTAGAGAGGAGTCCTTCAAAGTGCCACCGAACTGGGCCTGGGGGTGGAGCCAGGTCGGGGGCCCGCTGGGGGGCGGATCCAGGTTGGGGGAGGTCCAAGCCGGGTTTCTGGGCGGGGCTCACACATCGAAGCGCAGGTTTTGCTTTTCCTCAAAGAAGTAGTCGAGGACGAATTTGCGCACGAAGTCTGGGTTCAGTGTGTTGTCGATCACCTCGGTCCGTCCGAACTGAATGGGGAGTGGACAATCAGCACGGGGCCTGCTAAAGCGGGCAGGTGCTTCCCAGGCGCGGCCGTGGACTGGGGGAGGGTTCTAGGACTTACCTCCCGCCACTCCTGGCTGGCCCGGCTCTGCGTGTAGAGCACCACCACTGCAGGCGGGAGCGGGAGCGGGGGCGGGGAGGGAAGGACGTCAGGTCGGCCCGCCGCCCCCTCCCCACCCCTCAGGTGCTCTCGGACCCCAAGTTCCCTCCCTCCCGACCCTGGTGCCGCCTACTGGGGTCGGACTTGGAGAAGGTGTCGAGGTCCAGCAGGTTTCTAGAGAAAGAGACAAACAGACGGACAGCGAGTGGATCATCCTGGAGCCCACTGCTGGTACCCTACCCAGAGGTGGGCACCTAGGGAGGCACGGGGTTCAAATCACACCTCCCTCCCCCGTAACTACACCCTGCCGGGGTCCCGCGTTATCAGCACCCTGGACAACACCGGAAATCTCAGCCTAAGAGCTGTTCCTCTGCGGACTGGACGCGTTCAGACTGCCTCTAAGGGCCCAGGAAAGAGGGTTAGCCCCCAGAACTTTACCCTCCTGGGGCGCAGATCCTACTGGATCCCCACGACCCATCCCTTCAAGCCGCAGGCTGAGCCCTCTTTTGTGGTTGGGGCTATTCAAGGGAACCCGCTCCCCGCGTCCGCTAGCAACTCCCCTGAGTCTGCATCCGCGATTTTCCCCGGCCCGGATGCTTCTTCTCCTGGGGTCTACCCCCTGCTCGCTGAGCCCCTGAACTGGGTGGTGCTGGGGCAATGCCTAAGCCCTCCCCGGCACGGCCCGCTCACCGGCAGGACACGGTAATTTCAATCTTGGTGGCCGGGACGCTGCGCTCGGAGGCTCCGCTGAAAGACATGGCTGGTCGGGTGGCCGGAGCTGCGGGAGGCTACGAGACTGGGGCTGCTAGGGGCGGCGGCGGCGGCGGGGTCGGCCCATGTGCCGCCGCGGCGGTGGCGGCAGAGGCTGTGCTCCCTCCAGCCCTGCGTGCGCTCTGGTTGCTCGCGCCTTCACTGTGGCCGGCCGCGCAGCGGCTCCAGATGGCAATGCAGCCCCGCCCGGCCCCGCGGGGGGCCCCCACCCCATTGGAGCAGCCTCCTGTAGGCCAGGAACCTTACACAGATCCGAACTCCCACTCACTAGGTGGGAGAGTCCTCCCAGTGCATCTCCCCGAGGAGAGAGCCAGGCCTGCCCCCACGAGCGCTGTCCAGGATGCTGACCGGCATCCTGGGTACCTAGTGGGCACCGGGGTAGACTGCTCTTCCTGAGCTGCTCCTCAACAATCCGCTCTTCCCCTTGCCACTCCGGCCCTTCCTGTCTCTGAATAGGCGTAGTTACACATTTGTTCTCATTAGCTGTGTGACCTTGGGCAAGTTACTCAACATCTCATTGGCTCAGTCAGTTCACTGCTAAGAATGGCCATAATAGCACATACTTGAGGTGTTGTAAAATTTCATCAAGATAACCTATAAACAGGATTTAACGTAGTGGATTATAAACAGTAAATACTCAAGAAATGTTCATTGGTATCATTTCCCTCTTCTGGGCATTCACACTAATGACCTCTTCTGTGTTTAGAGTCAGAGGTCAGTAAACGGTGCGCTGCGAAAAACCTTTCGTCCATGTCTTTGAACCCAGATGACTTCATGGTGTTTGAGATGAAGACACTCTGTGAGGATGCAACTCACTGCAGATCACACAGTAAATTACGGTGGTGGTCAGCCAGGTTCACCCTCCCCATATCACCTACTGCCTTCCAGGCCCTGGAAGCCAATTCCTCACCAAATGCAGGGCCTGCAGGTCACCTGTACCAGGAGCATATTGTTTGCTGAACTTGTTAATAATAGATTACTTGGGAATTCCCTGGTGGTCCAATGGTTAGGAATCCCCACGTTTTCACTGCTGAGGGTGCAGGTTCAACCCCCAGCCAGAGAACTAAGATCCCAGGGCATGGCCAAAAAAAAAAAAAAAAAGACTCCCCCCACCCCTTATTCCAGCTTAATGAAGATCTCAGCAACTTCAAGTCTAAATTTCAGGAAGCCCTGGAAATCTGCATGGATCAACAGGCTCCCCAAGTGACTGGGGCCCATTCAGGCCTGAGGACCACTGTTCCAACCTTAACAGCCTACTGCTAATGTGTTGCCATCTCACTGGAGACTCTCATGGCTCAGGAATTAAGAGGCACATCCAAGTCTCCAATCTCTTCCTGCTTCCTATGTTCCTCCATCCCCCCTATAAAAGCTCCTTCTTTTAGCAAAAGGAAGGAAAGTGAGAACCTTCTAATCAACTCCACAAAGACAGCAACCAAATGATGCAAGAAAGTAGCTGTTCAAAAAGACTTTGATTTCATTTTGTGATCTGTGTTAAACTGCCTCATTTTCAGTGCAGGTGAGCCCTCCTCCCCAGGACACAAGAATGGAAACTGGAGGTCTTTTGTGAAGTCTCAGCCTCCCCCAAGACTCCAGGGAAATGCTACACAGTTCTGAGAGTTGACAGGAATCCTGGCAAAGACTAACAAGGGTGGGAGGCAGTGACAAGTGGGTCGGCAGACACCAGTCAGGAAGCTGGGGGTGGGAGAACCCCGTCCTCGGTCCTGCTCAGCTTCGGGGCTGCCGTGTGCATGATGGTGAAGGGACGTTCCCCCCCGACCTTGAAGCACCCCTTGGCTGGGCATGGCTTTGATTCCGCTCAGGTGAGAGAGGATCAGGAAGCTGTCGTGGGCTGGCTGCTTCATAAGGTGCTGCTGCTGGTGCCCCGGAGTCCAACACCACGGACAAACTGCTCCAGCAGGCCACCGATGGCACCAGAGGGACTGGGGGCTGCTGCGCGAAGCCCCACTGTGCTGCTATATGCAGCCAAGAAGGCTGAGCGCACCTCCTGTAGCCGGGTCTCTCGTTCACTCAGGGCTGTAAGTCTGTGGGGAGGGAGGGAAAGAGAGAATTAATGCATTATCCCGGGGCAGGATCCATCATTCTCATCCTTACGCCCCACTGGCTGTCCTGCATTCGCCAGTACAAGGCCAGCATCTGCCCCTGGCCATGCTGCCCGTGCGGTTCAGGCACCAAACATTCGGTCCTGTTCCCATCTTAAATTCTCCCTCAGGCTGCTCTTCCTACCTGGAGAGGCCAGAGCCCTCACCTTTAGTCACTGCAGTCCCCAGGGAAACCTCGGGGAAGGGGCTGGCTTTTCCAGCAGGATTTCCTTTCTGATTCTACTTTTCCTTTCCTGGCCTCTACAGGCACTTATCACAAGTCAAAAAGGATAACAAGAAGTGTGAATTCCACATGAGACTATCTGGTAACCTGAAGGGTCATGCATAGAAAAGGGCTGAGGTACCAACCACACACAACCTCTGGACTCAAAGTTATGAAGTCTAGGGGGAGGAGGGATGGAATTAGGGAAAAGGTCACAGACCTACATGAGATGAGCTCTCACGTTCCTATCCACCTAAGCACCAAGACCAGCCCTGAACACCAACTCCCTCCAAAATTTCCCCTTAGAGACCAATGTCTGGGTAATTCTTCCTGTGAATCTGTCAGAAGCAGCAGCGATATCCCCAATTCCCAAGTCCAGATGACTTGTACCTGGGGCCTGGGGAGCACATTGGAGGTATGAGGATAAATGACAGTCCAGGGCTTACGTATGGAGACAACAGACCCCAGAAAAGTAGACTGCTGGGAGTGGGGTGTGTGTATGCGTGCTTGTGTGTGTGAGAGAGCGAAACACCAGCAATAGCAGAAGTAGCAGCAAGTTCTAGGGTGAAGAAAAGTCAAATAACTGTAGCAGGAGCACAAAGAAGTGAGGCTGATCCTGGACTCCTGCAATACCATGAACAACTCCCAAGTCTCTCTTGGCATGTGGGGGAGATTCGAGGCCCTAGATCTTCTTTACTTCCTAATTAGTTTTCACATAGGCTGGAGACCATGTGTGCCTCTTTAGCTTTCCCTCAGAGCATATAACCAGGAGAAATTCAGATTAGTAGTTCATATTCACAGGACTACCTGAAGGTCCATATGTGCGCATTTTCACTGCCCCCTATTTTGGGAGGCAGAAAGGGAAAAGATCACAACCTCTTTTAGAAACAAGATACCTGGAGCCCAGAGAGGATGTGATCCGCTTGAGGACACAAGGTGGGCAGAGCTCCTACAGTGTCATTCCCTCTCAAGATATGAGCTAGCAGGCTCACAGCAGTCAAGGGTTCAACCCCAAGACAGAACTTGTAAACCTAACAGCTGGGATTTGGATTTAATTTCTCTCTGACACCAAAGCCAAAGCACTGAACCCACATACTATGTGATCTCACCAGTCATCAACCCTGAGTCCATGCCCACCCTGCAATCTCAGAGGCCATGGGATCATGGAGAACCTAGCCCTCCTCTGGGAATCACCCAGAACCTGAGGAATGGCTGGGAGCACAGAGAACTACCTAAGGCATTAATTACAGGATCCAGGGCTGAAGCTGCCCATTTCAGTGGCTAATGCCAGGTAAGTGAGGGTGCTATTATGCAGGGGAAGAGATGTCAGCTTCCTGCAGCTCCTAGGGTGTTTGGCTTCAATAGCAAGAGCCTACGGAAACACGAAGAGAACTATGTCTTTAATTTTTCTAAGAGATCTTATTTCTGGCTTAAGGGAGTGGCTATAGAGAAGGCTGAGCCAAGCCCTAGAGGCCTTTGAAGTCCTTGGGCTACTCCTGAGATGCAGGGCCAGGGCTTGCGAGGACCATCTGGGAATCCCAAGGTCTGGCCCCTGCCTGCCCTAGGCAGAATCCGCCTCAGCTTCCAAGGGCAACCTGCCTCCAACCTGTCAGTACTGGAGAGTATGAGCTGATCCTGAAGGTGGTGACAACCACCCAGCACCTGAAGCTCATTCAGCCCATGGCAGGGGCAATGGTGGGTGGTGGGGAGTTGAAGGCCCTCAGGCAGCCACAGCTGAGAAGCAGATCCTGCTCCCCAGGCCACCGGAGGCTCCCTGCCATCTGACATCCGTGAAAAAGCAGAGCAGGCAGGGGGCAGGGCAGCCTGAGAAGCAGCTGCTCAAGTAGATGCACTGCTTGAGCTGGAGGCCCAGTACTGGAGCCTTGGAGGGAGAGGAGTTTATAGGCGTGGGCTTTAGTATTCCCGTCCAATTTTCTTTCCTGACCAGAGGCAAAAACAGATGACAAAAGGGGCCAGGGAACAGCAAGGAACCCTCGGTTCTGCTTGGGAGCACAGCCCTTGGGCTAACCCAGCTCCATTCTGGCTCTGTCTCCACCATACACCTACCTTCACTACCCCACTGTTCTGCTTTCAAAGGATTCTCATGTCAGGCAAAGACTTGGACTGAAATAGCATCCTCTATAGTTAGAGTCCAGCCAGCTTTCCCTAGGGGTGTGCCCCAAGACACCCATGGATGGGTGTCAGAGGCTGGGGAGAGTGAACACACTCCAGCACCCTTCCTGAGCAGCTCATCAGCCCCCTTCACACCTCAGGGGGCAAGACCAGTGAGGTATACGTAGTGGAGACATTCAGAAGGGGCAGGGAGCCCAGGCCAGCTCCCTGGGGCCAGCTGCCACCTCATTCCTGGCCAGCACTTGACTGCTTGGCGGCTTCTGACACAGGCAGGGGAAGGGGCATCCTGTCTTCTTAAGCAAGACACTTACAGACAATTGTTAGGGAGCTCATCCGGGAAGCTGAAAGGGAGAGAGGAGTCTGTGTGCAGGACAGCCCGTTCCTGAATACTGCCACAGCCTGTTACCATCTGCCAGCTGCCAAAGTCTGTGGAGAGAGGGGATCCGGGCAGGGGATGGTCCACTGATCTGGGGCAAAGAGGAGAGAGAGGGGAGATGATGTAGTCAGTCATGTGCCTGACAGGGGAGGCCCTGGAACAGTTGGGGTGGGGGTGGGGCTGTGGTAGCCCTGGGACCTGGCCACAGGGGCCTATTGGAAGAGCATCTGTAGAGTCAACCACTTTCTCCCAAAGTGCAAAAACTGCTGCATAGCTTATGGCCAAGAGAGAAGAGTCAAGACCATAAGGCAGGCTTAGCTGTGAGGACAATACTTCATGCAAAGATTTACAGGAGCAAAAGAACAAGAGCAAAGCATGGTGACAAAGGTGAGCCAGCAACCAAAGCCAGGGATCAGGGCATGCCTGCTCTGCCTAACCGAACAAGTAAAATCTCAATAGCACCACAAGGAGGGGAGCAAGACTGCTCCAGGAGCCAGAGAGGCAGGATCACCTCACATTCCTGGCATGGAGACGGGCAGGGTGGGCAACGCAGAGCCCAGGATCACTGAGGTCCTATCGGAGAGATGAGAGAATGAGTCTCCTGGGGATGGTGGACGTGGTGACCTAGATTGAAAAGGAGGGTGACGGGTGCCCTGAGCCCCACCCTCTTCCTCTGCAGTGCCTTTCAGGAGCCAAAGTTTGTATTCACAAGCATCAACCCAGCAAACTCACTGGCTATGCCCAAAGGGGAGGGATGAATCAGGCAGCCAACTTGACAGCTTCATCAGACCTTTTTCAAATAGAGGTTTGCGGGATGTGGGGAAAGGAAAGCTGCACTGGGAATATACCACTGCCACCAGCTCCCCACTCACAGCCAAGCCTTCTCTGCTGTCTCTGGACAGTGGCCCAGTCGGTGGGGGTGGGGGAGGAGATAGGGAAACATCAAACAAGGCCCTTCCATCAGCTACACCAGGTCCCTGTCCCCAGAGGTGCATCATCTTTGATGCTTGACCCTTTATCCTTTAATTCAAGAATAGCAGAAGGTTTTCCTGTAGGGACCCAGAAACAGAGCAGAAGCATGAATTGTGGTATAGGGGGTGGGGAACTGAAAAATGAATTGACCTTGGCCCACCCAACTGGCTGGTGTCAAGGACTTCTAGACTGAGGTGACAGTCCCCTGGGTCCCCAGGCCAGCTTTATCTGCAAGCAGTGGCCAAACTGAGTGCAGCTCTGGCCAGCATTACATCTCTGCTAATTCTAAACCATCTCCATCTTAGAGGCAGAGAAATGGCAGCCCAGATAGGGGAAGACACTTGCCCAAGGTTCCACCACAGTTAGTGAATACAAGAAGAGATTTTTATTTTTTAGAGCCAAGTTTGATTACGGTTTTGTCATACAACAGAATCACCTTGAGACCACGGAAAACAGATGGCTGTCCATATTAAAGCTGCCATGAATTGGAATCTCCTGAAACATAGGGACTTGCCATATTCCTTGCTCCTGGTCTACCCTGGAAGGTGTGTGACGACAGGGTGTGGATGAGGACAGGATGTGGGCTGCTACCTGGTGGAAGCCCTGGTGATGACAGAGCAGGGCTTCCTTCTTCCCAGGTGGAGAAGCTTGGTGGCCAGATGCTGTATCTTTGGTGATCCTTAACTGTTTATAAATCAAACAGCTGACTAACACTTAAGAGCAAGCTGCAGGCCACAGTCTGGGGCCGGTCCTGTGCTTTCTCTGGGTCATGCTGGGGTCTCATGTCCGTGCAACCCCTCTTGAGGTCAGCCTGCCTCCACAAACCTCATCTATTGCTCCAAGTTTAAGATAAACATTCTCTTCCAGTTTTGGGGAAAACAATTGTTAGACAGCAAAGTGTTGAGGGAATGAAAGTAACGTGAAATAGAGGAGGCTGGGCAGGATGAGGGACGTCTAGAACAGGGAACACGGGGGTTCCATGCTCCTAACCCCACTCCCCAGGGCTATCGAGACTCACACTTCCAATGGGAAAAAGACAGCCAGGTAGAATGTGGTTACAGACAGCAAGGGCTCCTGGTCTTCTAGGCTACCTTCCCTGTACTTCCCCTATCAGGCAGGTAGCACCGCCAGGCAAGAGCCATGCTTGAAGCGGCCAAGGGACAGCTGCGGCATGGAGCAGGTCACATAAATAGCAACAGGACGCATGATCCCAGGGGTCAGAGTAATCTTAGCAAGCAGCCAACCATCTTCTGCATCTTTTTCAAGAGTTGAGTACACAGGCTCCAAATGAACCTTTCTATTTGAGGCTTTTGTCAAAGAAAGGGTTGCATAGTAACATAACCACTGAGTTCTTGGGTTTGAGAGCAAGGAGCTATACGAAGCACAGAGGTACTTGTAAGTGCCAATTTAAATTAGCTGGTGAAAAAATAAATAAATAAATTAGCTGGTGAGAGGGGATGCCGTAAAGATGACAGGAAACAGTTACCAGAAGGAAGCAACTGCACCTGCCAAGTGAAAGAAGGAGGGAAAACCTTCAAGTTAGCCCCAGGGCACAGGTAACGCAAGCAGCTTTAATAAGCCCCATGCCCTTCTGCCCTACACCTTAACTCAAGTACACACAGCATCCACCTCCACCCATCTACCTACAGGACTGGAGGGGACATGGGGCCAAGCCATCCTCAAACTGGAAAATGGTACAGCTGACAGTGCTTCCAAGGTCACCTCACTTAAACCCAAACTTCTGAAGACAAAGATCACTATTCCTACTTTAATGATGGGATGAAAAAAATGAGCTCAGAAGGGAAGTGTTCAAACTCAGCAACAGCTAGGACAAGATTTATCAGATTTGAAAGATTATCAAGTTTCCCCCAGCCTGGACTTCAAGCATTGCTGTGTGTGTGTGTGTGTGTGTGTGTGTGTGTGTGTGTGTGTGAACCAGGGACCTCTGCATTCCTGCAGCTTTTGAGGCTCCAAGTTTTCTCTTACCCATCTCAGTCTCAAGCTGGCCATGCCTTAACACTCCTCACCACTCATCCAGCATTGCTGTGTGTATGTGTGTGTGAGAACCAGGGACCTCTGCATTTCTGCAGCAGCCCAAGGAGAAGTCTTTTGAGGCTCCAAGTTTTCTCTTACCCATTTCAGTCTCAAGCTGGCCATGCCTTAACACTCCTCACCACTCATCCCTGGTCTGGACCTATAGCCCCAAGTGAGAACCCATCAAACATGGGACAGGAACCCTATGTGTCACATAAAGCAACCTGGCTTCCCTGCCTCATTAAACACAGCCTGGGACATAGCCCATTGCTTGTAACAAGCAGCTAGTAGGTGGGGAAGGATGGGGGAGGAGTGGCTATCTGGGCAGCAGAGTTGGTGCCTATGTTGTCACTCAGCTATTCAACCAGGCTGCTGGATGTCCCTCAGGCAAGTTCATCTGCTCCTCAGGCAGGTTGGCCTCCAGCTGGGCCCAGCGATAGCATCCTCCCACCCCAGGCAAGGACGGTGCAATGCTAGCAATCCCCAGCCTCCGAGATGTCTGGCCCTGGAGCAGAGACCAAGACCGTACAGAGAGGGGCACCTTACTGACCAGGCCTCAGGGAGGCGTCCTGCCTCTTCCCAGCCCAGCACTGCAGATGACAAGAGATTTAACAGTGGTCCAGAAACACAACTCAGAAGCTACTGTAGTGACAACTAAGGATACAAAAGGGCCACCAGTCTTGCCAGTGAGGGGTATGGGGTTGGGACTGGATCAGAATCAGCACCCCACAGAACCTTCTTCCTAACCCGACACCTATTTCTTAACTCTGGACAAAGCTCCCCCAATTTCTTTCCCAGCAAGTCCTACCTTAAATGAGCTATGCTAATATGGACATGGTGGGGGGTGGGTGGGGAGGAGAGGGTGGGAAGAATTGAGAGAGTAGCACTGAAACATACACATTGCCATGTGTAAAACAGGCAGCTCGTGGCAAGCTTCTGTGTAGCGAGCACAGGGAGCCCAGCCCAGTGCACACTTATGGCTGATTCACACATGGTAGTATGGGAGAAGCCAGCACAACACTGTCAAGTAATTATCCTCCAATTAAAAAAAAAAAATTTAATTAAAAAAAAAAGAGAGATACACTGGTAGAATTTAGGACTCTGCAGCATATGAAACCCAGAGAATTCATATTATTAGGGGAATTTTGGCTGTCACACATAGCTTTCCACACAGCTCCTCCTGCTGCATTAAAAAGCTGATTGGTTATTGCTACCGAAGATTAGCAGGAAAGCTAATGACAGGATCCCTCAGGCTCTTTAAGATAAGAAAGACTAAATTAATTTTAATGTTAATGGAGATACATAATTATAATTAGAATGCTCCAAATCAGAATCTAGTCTTTCAAAACCCCTGGCAAACAAGCATCCAATCCGGAACCCTGTCTCCTAGTCCAGCCTGGCTACAAGCAAGCACTGCCAGAACAGCCCAGCAGAGCCATCAGAACAGCCCACACAGCCATCCACCCCATGCTTCTCCAAGGCCTTGTGCCCCATTCTGGTCCAGTTATTCCAGCCGCCTCCGCCAGGTCGCAGCTCACAGGGTCCCAAGTTCAGGAGGACACCCCCGATCCTCCCAATCCTCCTCAGCCTTCTGGACCATCCTGGACCAACCATAAGCATTTGAGCCCAGTGCAGGTGGATAACCACTGGGGAGACAGAGGGGAAATGATCACAAAATTGGAATGAATGTCGGGAAGAAGAAAATGATAAAGAGCTAAGGTGTGTGGTGGGGTACTGCCTCAGTAGGGGAGCCCTAACAATTGGACAATTAAGACCAGGAGGACCCAGGAGTCTAGGGGAATCTTCTGGTTTCCTTTCCAGTTGTCAGCAATGTTGCACAGGCAGAAAAGGAGGGATGGTGAACAAGAGCTCCAGCCCGCAAGAGTGAGGGTCACGCGGTGCCACAGCAGCCCCACAGCAGCCCTGAGGAAAGCCGACACAGGGACATGGGGTGGCACCAAGGATGTGAGCGAGCACAGCCAGGGGGCTTATCTGCCGGGTGCCACCTCTGCTCAGCTGCCTCCGCCAACCCGTGGGGACAGACGGGTTGTGGCCTTTGCTTACCAGACTCAGCTACAGCCTTGTCAGACATGGCGGTGCTAGGAGTTGAAGGGCTCACCATCAGAGGTGACCCCTCTGGACAGTGCAGCTCCTACTAGCCTAGAGCTGACCCGCTCAGCCTGCGAGGGGAGGGTGCTCTTCCCCACCTTCCTCCAGTGCCTGTCTTTGCCCAGAAAGGAAAAACCAGAGGATGGCGAAGGAAGGAGATTTTCCAAAGTTTCAGGTCTTTTCTTATATAGTAAGTTTGCCACCTTTGGGCTCAGTTTCCTCTTTGGTAAATTGTCTGCTACAAGGAAAGACCTGAAATTCTGGAAAATCAGACAGAGCTAGGCTTGAATCTGGAGTGGACTTTAATACTTATGATTTTTCTGCTAAAGGTCTTTTCTCCATGGCATTTGTTAAGGACCTCTCAAGTTGCACACTGCTCTGTTCTTTCCAGAAGGACCAGACATTCTCAAGGCTTTAGAAAACAAAATAAATCACAGGATTTCTTCCTTGGCTGTATGACATGGAAGGTATGAGGTCAGTGAGGAAATCCTTTCTCCAAATGCCAGGCCATCCCTCAATCCTAAGCCTGCCCGGCGCTCAGCTTTAATCTCACCAGAGAAACATCATTTCGGCAGCACATTCCAGGCCCACCTGTCCGTCCTGGCTGAGTTGCTCTCCTGCTGGGTGAACATCTTGTGAGCTTTGCCCCAGCCACACACATCTAGCCTGATTCCCTACTGTCCATTCTCTTCCGTGCCCCACCAATTCAGACAAGGAATGGGAGAGCCAGAAGCAACTCAAGAGGACCCAGCTCCGCCTCTTTAATCGGAATGTGGCATTCACAGGGGCTGAGACCTGGCAAAGGCAGCAGGTGGTGGCAGCCCCGACTCCTTGTCCATCACATCACAACTGCTCCACCTTCCCGACTCCCCATCGGCCAGGGCTCCAGGAGGGAGGGGTCTCAGATTGCTCTGTGAACCTGCTTTCACTCTGTACCCAAACATGAACTCATCCTCCAAACAGTGGGGGAGCCTGCAAGTCTGTCGATCCCCTCTGGTCTCCTGGATATACCACCTACCAGGCCATGTGCCCTGGAATCCCATGCTCCAGTCTTATCAAGAGGGAAGGACTTTGGAGCTCCTCACCTGGGCTTGGGGACCTCCAGGGGACTGCTACCCATCCTGAAAAAGTTGTCAGAATGGTTCGAGGATGAGGAGCTGGAGGACTTGGCTTCCACCAGACCCTGGTGGGGAGGCAGGCGGTCCTCGGAGGGCTGTGGCCGGTTCCAGAGCATGCTCTGTGGAGAGGAGGAGTGGCTCTTCCTCCTGTGGTGGGAAGACAGGGCTGCTGGTGAAGGACCACCTCAGGCCCACCCTCTGCTCACCTGAGCTGAGTCTCTGGGCCCAGTTTTTACTTTCACTGGAAAAATGCCACATGGGAGTGGGTACACTAAGCACTCCCCTGGGCTTGGCCATGGGCAACGAGAGCTGGGTCTTCACAGAGGGACTATGGCGTCCAAACACACTGACCTACTGGCCTCAGTGCACATGCTGGGCAACAGATTCTGAACAAGTTTTAAAACTCGTTAAAGTGTTGTACAAAATCTCGAGCCCTTTGTCCAGGGAGAAAAGTCATCTGATTCTCAAAGTAGCTGACCGTCAAATGAACTCCTGATCTGCAACCATCATTTCCTACTCTGTACTTCTTTCTTTTCCTAAGCTTGGCCCCACCTCCCAGGCAATTGATACAAGGGAGTGCCCCCATGAAGTCCCTTTAACACCCTCCCCTCACCCCACCCCATCTGCCCAGCCCTGCAGCTTCTTCCTTTGTCCCACAGGGAACACTGGCCCTTGATGCTCTTGGGCCAGCATGGCAGCATCACTCCCCAACCAGATGGCTGGCCTCTGAGGCCCAGCAGAGACAGCAGGGCAGGCAGCTGAGCTCTTAGGCCGACTGTTGGGGCCCTTTTGTTCCTGGGGCTCCCTGGAGCTGGAGCCCTGGCTCCCAGCTGTTAGCAAGCTCAGTTCCAGCCTGGCCCTCACCAAGCTGCCTGAGTCTGTGCTCCTGCAGGGACCAGCTCCACAGTCTCATAGGTGAAGCTCCCGGCGGCTCCTGGGGAGCTCTCCATGACCAGAGAGAAGTCACTGCCAAGGCTGGTGGTGCTGCCACGGTCCTTCCGCCCTGAAAAGAGGCCAGGACCATCAGTCAGCACGTTATCTTCACCTATAAGGGGTCCCCCACCTCTTTTATACCATACGACTGGAAAGAGAAGTTTCTAGAACAAACAATCCCTATGTGGTCTATACTCAGAAAGATGCACAGAGACAAGTCCGCCAGGGCCCATAACTCACTCAGCATGCAGATATCTTCCACGGTGAAGCCTGTATCCCGAGCTGGCAAACTCTTCCTCCTATAAACAGAACCCAGAACAGTGAGCTCCAGATTGGACTGGGAGGTCTCCTCTGTCTCCCACTATGCTGCCCAACTGAAAAAGAAGCTTGAACTCAGTGGAGACAGGTCCTACCTAGCCTGTTGCAAAAGGCCAAGGCTCACTTCCGGGAGGCCAGCAAAGCCTGCTTCTTGTCAGCATGGCCCCTCAGAGGTCAAGTCTGGCCCAACACATTAGGGGGCCTGGACTTGGAAGGTGAGGGAACACGGCACAGACACCAACCCTCACAGGGGTCCTAAAGCAATCACCAGGCCTAGACCCCTGTGTGTGCCAAAGTGTGAGCACACTGCTCCGTGGTGGGGGGCTGCACAGACACACCTCTGCAGCAACTCAGGGAGGAGGACTCTGGCCTCGGAGGTGGTCGCATGGGCAGCTTGGGGGTCTCCCCATCCCTTCCCTCCAGCAACATGCCCTGCACCCCTAGTCACAAGATGAGCCTCTTCACCCTCTGGCCCTCCCCAGTTACCCCTATGTGCCCTCAGAAGGAAGGCAGGGACAGAAGGCCAGCCTGCCCAGCATGCGGGGAAGCAGGGCGGGGAGAAGACGGCAAGCGAGACTACCTGCCCTAGCACAGCCCCTCCCAGTGCACCTGCCTTCCAGCAAGAGCAGGTCTCTCCTTACCTCTGTGTCTTCAGAGCAGAGAACTCTTCAGAGATGATATGCTTCAAAAAATTGAAGCAGAAGAAAAAAATCTAAGAAACAGACCAAAAAGCAGCACACATAAGAAGATAGTCTTCTCTGGGGAGAAGGATCCAGGTGGCTAGACTCCCAGGAGAGGGCAGCCAGGGACCCTGGTCACCCCTGCCAGACAGCAGCCCTGCTCCGGGGACCCTGTCAGATATTCTGGTGTGGAAATGGAATGGGTGCTAGAGAGGGTGCAGCAGTTCAGGCAGGCATGCCTGGGCTGGGCAAGGAAGGAAGGGACTATGTTTGCTTCCTGAGAACGCAAGAGGGTAAGCCAGGGATGTTTCAAACCATCTTCAAGTTCAACACATGTGTTCTCAAGCTACTGAAAAAGATGAAGATAATAGCTGCTTCTCCCCCACAGTCTCTCCTGAGAACACCATGCAGACAGAGTCACAGGGAAGGACAGCTGGGAGAGAGAATCTGGAGGCAAGACACAGCAGGAACATCATGGAAGGGTAAGGAATCAGATTTCATAGGGGAAATACCCAGGAACAGTGTGGTTCAGGCCCAAAGACTGCACTGCTCAGAGACCAGGGTCAGGATGAACGCTGAGGCGGGCTAAGGCAGGCAGAGGCCCTGAATTCTGGCCCCACATCCACATCCCTGTTTCTGTGGGCAAACACCCTTTTTGCTTCCAGCCAGCACCCACGTCCATTCGGCCTCTGCAAGGTACACACAATGCACTGTCTCTGCAGTGATTCTGAAAGATGTGGTTCATCAACCCCTCACTTGGGAGAAACACCTAAAGTATCCCAGAGCCCTGTAAGATTTCCTCAAAAAGAGGAAGGAGGGCGCCAAGGTCAGTACAGTTTGAAAACTGTTACATAATTTCTTTTTTTTTTTTGGCTTGTGGGAATTTAGTTCCCTGACCAAGGATTGAACCTGGGTCCTCAGCAATGAAGGCATGGAGTCCTGAGCACAGAGTTCTAACCACTGGACTGCCAGGGAATTCCCTCTTACATAAAATGAAATAGCTGTCTTCATTACAGCCTTTTCAGACTTTAATATGCTAATGTGCTCAGAGAATCTCAAAGGCAAAGGAAGGGTACAGAGGGCTGTTTAACAAGTCCCAGCCTTTTGCATGTTTTTAAAGTATCGGTATCTTGTATGTATGAAGTGGGAAGGAGGGAAGGCGGGCTAAGAGAAAAGCCCACCTTCTACCCGCCCTCCTAGCTGAGGAGACCCTCTTGGTTACACTAAGACATGGCCAGGGTTTGAATCCAGAACCCACTGGGCTCAGCTGCACCCCCGTCCAGTCTCTGAGGTGAAATCTGGCCTGCCTCGGCGGGTGGGGACAGCGTGGTGGTGGGCGGGTGGCAGGTCCTGGGGCAAGGCTCAAAATGGGAGGCTGTAGAGGGGCTCATAAGCCTTCCGTGTCGAAGTCACCGCCTCTGACAGTTCACGGAGGCCTCTAAGGAACAGGCTTATGAACTCTGCAGTTCTGGCAGATGCGATAAGTGCTCAGAAGAGATTTGCAAGGGGAGAGGAGCAGCTGAGAGGGAGGAACAAAAGAAGGCACAAGATAAGATCCCAGAAAGAGGCAGCCTCAGGAAGGGAGAAGGATGCTTCAAGAAAATGGGGGGTGGGGGTGTGGAGAAAGAGACAGCACTGCGTGCAACTCCCACGCTGGGCATCTGGACTCATTCTCCTTGTGAGGCGTCAGGATGGACACCAGGAGACTCAAGGTTAATCACACTTTCCAAGGTCACCCAGGTAATAAGTGGCACAACTAGGGTACATACTCAAGTCCAACTCTAGGTCTGCGTATAGGGAAAATAGGCTGAAAAAAGAGTAACAAGGCGAAGGTTACAAAAAGGATGCTGTGTGGACAGGGCAGAGAGGAGGAAGGAGGGACAGTGCCCAGACAGGAAGGGGACCCAGGGCCCCTGGCTGGGCCTGGGCTGGTGGTGAGGAGCAGGCAGGACTCTGCCTGCACGGACGGCCCTAGGGCTTAAAGGTGCCAAGTGGGTGTGATGAGGACAGAGGCCAAGGAAGAGCTTCTGGGTTTCAGCTGTAAAGGTGAGGGGCACAGCAACGACTTGTAAATTGGTTCCAAAGCTGAGTGCAGAAAACAAGGTCAGCTGTAAAAAGGATGGCAGAGAAAGAGGGGACGAGGACTGACATATGAAGGTCACAGGTTAAGTGTCCTTCCTGAGAGAGTGGGGGACTGAGGTGCAGCACGGGGGGCTGTGGTGCTAGATTTCTTCCCGCCACACTGCCTGACCCCAGCACAGACCAAGCAAGGAACTGCTCCCAAAGTGTGGACACCAAACAGACTGCCATCCTGTCCCTCTCTGGAGTACAGGAGCCAGAGCTCGCAGAGCCCTGACATGTGCTCGTGGACTGTGAGCAGTACCCACCTCCTCTCCTTTGCTGAGTCGATCTACCAACATGTGCCTGAAACAAGAAGGCAAGGAAGTCAGAGCCAGGAGCACACAGGCAGGAGGACGGGGAGAGCCTATGGCTCTGGCCCCACAGCCTCAGGGGGGCCTGACCAGTGCCTCCTGTCTTCCCAAGGGGGTGGGACTATCTTCACCTTCAACCCTGTCATAGGAGCCCCCGCACCCACGCACACACTTGGTTCCTGAGGCACTGCCCCCACCCCACAGCCTGCCGTCCGTCCCCCAAAGGCTCACCCAAAGAGGAACCAGTCGTAGGCCACTGTGAGGTAGAGGATCTCAGCAGGCTTCAGGGACGCGTGGATGAGCCCGTCCTGGAAAAGATGTGTCCAGATCAGAGAGAGGCCCCCTCCCGGCCTCAGGGGCTGAACCACACCCACAGCCCCCTGACAACCAGGCTGCCCCACAGCCCAGGAAGAGGGTCAAACTTTACAACTCCTGCTCTGGACACCTGAGGTCCCTCAAGCCAAACCCTCTCTGCTTCTGGAGACAGGCTCAGTGCTCCCCAAGAGTAGACCCTGGAAAGGCCTCTGAAGGCTCCCTGACCCCCAGCCCAGCCCATGTGTACTCACAGCCCACAAGGAAAGGCGCAGGAGAGAGATGAAGAGGGGGGTCCGGTCCCAGCCTGAGATACAGTGCACCAGCAGCCCGCTGTCGTCTATGCAGAAACACAGGACAGGTGGCCGGGAGAAAAGCAAACACAGGCGATGAGAAGGGGCTGTGCCACTGCCCAGGCCTGAGGTGAGATCCAGGATACCCCAGAACCATAGCATAGCTCCAGGGGCAGGCATGGGATGTCCCGCCAACCCCGCCACAGTGGAAGGATGGGCACCTGACCCAAACGAAGACAATGAGTGTGAGCTCTGGGACAGAGACCGTGTCTCTCTTCTGGAGGAGTTAAGACAGCAGGAGACAAGTCTGAAATGACTGCTGGTTTTGAGCTAACTAAACAGTGGATATGAGACAAGGAGAGACTGTTTCTGCTATTTGTCACCTGGCTCTGCTCTTGGGCCTTCTTGGTTATATTGTTCAAGCAAGTGCAACCTCACATAAGTCCTGACTGATAAGGAAAAGTCAGAGTCAGACTTCCCCAGGACACTGAGCATCATGGGATCATCCAATCAAAACAGTCAAACTGGCTGGAGCACCATCCGAACAGGCCTGCCATGGGCTTGTATGTGAGCAAGAAGAGGCCAAGACTGACTTTCTCTCAACTTTCTGAACCAGAAGAGGCCACTGCAGCCTCACACAAAAGGCTGAGGTTCAAAGCTCACAGCCAGCTGAGCCAGTGTAGGAACATCCTGTGTGTGCTTCAGATCGTAAGTTCATAATTTTGTTTTCTAGGGTTTTGAGGACATGGAATAAATCAACCAATGATAAGCAAATCCCCATATCCTTCTCCCATAGAGCAAAAGGCTCCAACAGTCACACACTGGTGCTGTCAAGACCTGGGAACACCCCGAACATCCACTGGCTTGAGGCAGGCTGAAGCGGACTCACCGTCATTGTTAATTATGGAAAGCAGCAGTTTCAGGTAGTTTTGTGTTTGTTGCACCAGGTCCCAACTCTGTTGGAAAAGAAAAAGAAAAGGATTCCAGGAATAGGTATTTAACTCAGAATGGGAATTTATAAAATATTTTAAAAATAAAAGACTAGTAAGAGTTATTTTGGGGCAAGAAGTACCCCAGTTCATGGTCACAGGCCCCGTCCCAGATGCGCTGTGACTTCACTCCCACATGCCCCCGCCCCCTTCCCCACGGGCCCCACCCTTGGCGTGCTCCCTCCCAAAGGGAGAGTGAGGAAGGGGAAGCCATCAGCGGCCCGGGCCACCCATATCCCCACGCCCACTAGCAACAGCTGGATATTAACCTCCTCTGTGTCCTGGGCTCCAAGCACAGCTGTCCAGGGAGTTAACAGAAGTCAACAAAGAACCTCGAGCCTGTGGCCATTGTCACCAAACTGCAAGAGCCACTTCATCTGCCATTACAGCATAGAAACTAAGGAAAATATCAGCCTTCTCATCAATCGCTTCTTTACTGCTACTCACTATACTGTCTTTCGATGAATAACAAATGCAGTCTGGCAGACAAAACTTTTAAAACAGGAGGCCCATGTGGTAGGAGATAAAAAAAATAAGCAAAAGCTTATTAGAGATCTGAACCTCTGTTCTAGCCCAAGCAAAAGGTCTAAACTAGACACTCTGAGAAATAGCCCACTTTGGAGTCTGGAACTCCACGGAGGGGCCTGACCCAGTTCTATGGCCCCCTCCCCCCTGAGCTGGGGACAGTCTCTCAACACAACTGCTTCTCAGTGTCTGGGCTGTGCAGAGAGGCCACGGTGAATGCCAGCAAGAGTGCTCCCACGGGGAGGGTGAACACAGCACCTGTAATTGGAATGGTTTTCCCAGGAATTTAAAACAGGCTCATTTACCTGACCCTCCCACAGACCCTGGAGAGCCCTGACCCACTTTCAGTGGCTCCAGAGAAAGCTGCTGCAGCGCCACATTAATAAAGTTATTACCCATGGCAGCTTGGGGGTCTCTCTGCTTGTCTGGTTCAACGTGTCAGACACACCACTGTCCAGATTTCCTCCTCACTTTGAGTCCCAGGGAAGGAAGAGCAGGAGAGGCAGGAGACTTGCGGCAGATGTGCGGGGTGGTTGGACGGGTGTGGGGAGGGCTGCAGCAGCCAGGAGATGGCAGGGCCACCAAGGACGAGGCTGCAGGGCCCCCCGAACACAGCAGCTGTTTGAAGGGGACACCAATGACCAGGAAGCGCCAGGAGACACTACTGGCCATGGCGCCTAGGGCGGGGGCAGGAACCACAGACTGGGGAGCACTGGGTTGGCGAAAGCCCAAGGTCACACAGCTAAGCTGAGGTGGGGTCTGGCCCCAGGCCTGTGGTCAGTCACACACTACACTGTGATGTCTATTTCCTCGAATACTAGAGTGAGGAAATGAATGTCTAAGGAGAGTATAGAATATGAAGAGGACCATGGAAATGCATGAAAATCTACACTCATTTCTGACTCACCCCACGTGTGCCGTGAAAAAGCCTACGGGTGCAGAGCCAAGTACCACGTATCTGGCTTACATTTGTATGCCTGGAGTACTCTCCCCTGGCTAGCAAACTCCTACAAAGGCCCAGCCCCATTATCTACGTATAGAGTCTTCTTGTGTAGCCACTGGCTGATAATCTTTCTACACAGATGACAATTATGCTGTTGTCTCTTCTCCTGGACCAAGTCCAATGAGGGCTCTGCATCTATAAGGCTTAGTGCTTAGGGACTAGGAGGTACCCGTGGAAAGTTCCTTCAGTGCCTGTTCATGGTCAGGGGTTTGTGTGAGGAGAAGCAGTGGCTGGAAGGGGTCTTTGGGTACAGAATGAAAAAGCAGAGCACTAGGGGATTCCATTCGGCTACTCAGAGGGCAGCACTGCTCCTCATGTGCTGGGAACACTGCTGTGAACACCACAGTGGGCCTGGCTCTGGGACACAGCAGTGAACACAATAACCCCAGCTCTCATGGATGCAGGGAAGGGAAGGCAAAGTGAACTGCTACAGGCATGCTGACTAAAAGAATCCCTGTAAGATGCTGTGGAACCATGTAATGGGAGGTGAGCCTAGCCCGATCCTCAGGGACCATTAGGTAAGGCTTTTTTAGAGATGGTGACATGCATGTGAGAAAAGGGTTTAAGGAAAGCACCCAGTGTTTCTGGCATAGAGAACAGCACGTGCAAAGCTGGCGAGCATCTTTCCTAGGGAAGATGGCTAGGGTGGCTGGAGGAGAGGGAGGGGACAGCCAGTGAGTCACCAGAACAAGCTTGGGCCATGTGGAACTGGTGGACCATGTGAGGGTCCTTGGACTTCTGAGGATAACAGGAAAAGTCAGATGGAATTTGGAAGGACGAAGTGACAATGACAATCTTGGCCCGTCACCTAAGTACTGCTCTCTACCAGGCCCTGTTCACATGCTTTACGTTCCTTACTTCCAGTCGGCTGCCCCTCAATGTGGCCCCACTCTTAGCCATTAGATGATGGTAGCCTGCATTAGGCCAGTGACATGAGACGGAAGCAGGAAGGACTGGAGAAAATCCCTGGGGCAGAGACTTA